CGCACCAAGTCCATCTACCCAGAACCAAAGATGGAAGAACCTTGGTACTGGGAGACCTAAACACCCAAAGCCATTCAGTCTTGTTTGGGTTAAGCTGGAGCCCATTATGCCCCATCCAGGCCCCTAGAGCCTGCAGGCACTGAGATAGGTCATCCACGGCATCACTCAGACAGCCCGGAGGAGATATAAAGCTGGATATCATCAGCATACTGATGATACCTCACTCCAAACTGTCAGATCACCTCACCCAGTGGCCTCATGTAGATGTTAAATAAGAGGGGTGAGAGAACTGAGCCCTGTGGCAACCCACACAGTAGGAGCTGTGGACTGGACCTCTCCCCTCCTACCAACACCAGCTGGAACTGACCCTGGAGGAAGGAGGAAAACCAGTACAACACAGTGCTGCCCACCCCCAACTCCCTAAGGTGGTCCAGAAGGATGCCATGATTGATGGTATCAAAGGCTGCCAAGAGGTCAAGAAGAGCAAGAATGGAAGCACTGCCCCCATCCCTCTCCCGCCAGAGGTCCTCCAAGAGTGTAATCAATACCATCTCAGTCCCATATCCTGGCCTGAATTCTGACTGAAAGGGTCCAGATAATCCACTTTATCCAGAGCCCTTTGAAGTTGCTGTGCGATCACTTTCTCAACAACCTTCCCTGAAAAGGGGAGGTTGGCGACTGGATGAAAACTATTCAGATTAGTTGGGTTGAGCAATGGCCCCTTGAGGAGGGGGTGCACCATCACCTCCTTAAGAGCTGGCAGGACCATCCCCTCCCTCAAAAAGGAATTAACCACTGCCCAGACCCAATTACGTGTCTTCTCCCAGGCAGCCTTTACCAGCCAGGAGGGGCATGGATCTAACACAGAAGTGGCTGAACTAGCAGCTACAAGAACCCTGTCCACTTCCTCAGGTTTCAATAGGCTCGAACTCCTCCCAGATAACCATGCAAGACTCAGCCCCCATAACCCCCACTGGCCTTGCATCAAAGCTGGAATTCAACGCAGAGCACATGCAAGCAACTTTACCCACCAGATGCTCAGCATATTCCTCATTATGAATGCATAGTATATCTAGATGAGGTATACTGTAAATTATTTTAGCTATAATTTTATCCTCAAAATCAGAATGGCTAAAAGTCCAGTTCATAAATGTACATTCATCATTGGATGATTGTACTATGAAGATCTGATGCTGGAGATTTTTTACATCTGTGAGTAATATTATACATCAAACAGCAGATGTGAATTTCTCACATTGTCTCACATTAAGTATAAATGCTGTGTTTTTGCAATGTGAATTAACATTTTCAACTATGATCTGTAACTTCCCAAATCAATTCATGACAAATGAAGTGATATGTATGTGGAAGTGTGCACCAGCACAAATGTGGATAAATATTATTTCTCGCCTTTTATGCTTTTGGCTAATTTAGCTAGCACCTTGTAAATTTCTTAAATGAATTACTCCAGCTGTACATTATGCAATTCTTGTATAAAAGTGTAATAGTATTTACATGAGATAAACAAAGGAAGCAAACAAACACCATATTATTCACAATAAATACTTTATGGGAGAGCAGAATAAATTATAGTATATACATATTAGAGTTTAATGGAGTCATTCAGCTGAACTTGCTTTACATTTAGATGAAAAACAAAGCCACAGGTTATTACTGCATTCTCAGTCAAGCTTGTTGAATTCTGTGTTGTTGATAAATCAGAATTACGTATAACTAATAGGTAGTATTGATTAAATGCTTTAACAATTCAGCCAATAATTGCTCCTTCGAATGGGCCGAACAATTCTTTTGCTCTCAGGGTCAAACTGAAACACTCTCATTCCTCGGAAGAAATAGATATAGCCTGGGGATTAAAAAGAAAGAGGCATAAATGAAAAATCTCTTTTTTTCAGACCCCCCAAAAGCTTCCTCTTTACAGAATTCAAATGTGAATTTATGAAAAACTGAGCTAGGTGTGCAAAAACTATTCATGACAATTATAAGTCATAACAGACTTTGTTCTTAAGGTAGGCTGAGATCTGGTAACTTTAAGCCAACAGTAACATGTAAAATAAAAAAACAAATGTATATCTTGTCTGTTAATTTTGAGTCTTGGACTACATATTGACCAAACTATGGCTTGCTTAAGCATAGTTTATGAACCAGTGACTGACTGGGCTTGCACAACATGCCCAACATGTAAGTCACACATTATTTACAGATATTAGTGCCTGGGTTCATACAACAGGTTAAGCCACAAAACAACCAACCTATGTGAGTGCAATCAATTGTGATTTAGTCCACAAGTCATTGCTACTAGTATTTTATTTAGCAAAATATGGTTCAGCAAACCTTGTAGCTTTAAGGTCATGTGTGGACTCAGCTTCAGGCTTGATTTATTTTCGTTTGCTGAATTAATAGATGATATGAGCTTTTGTGTACTTGTAAGTCTTCATAAATTTGCTAGTCTTTAAGGTGCCACAAGTCTCTTGTAATTTTTTTTAATGAAGGTAAATAGTATTAGCAAAACCAAAAAAAAAGGAAATAGAGACAGGGCAAACCAATAAATTGTGGCATGATGACTTGCTTGGTCAAACATCCAGGAAATATTTAGTGAATATGCTCCAGAACCAGTGAACAATGCTAGAGCAGTGATAACTGAACGCGTTATAAAATTGACAGTTTCTATCTTAAGTGATTACAATACAAAATTCAAAACTGTTGAAGGAGTATTACAAGAACTACTATCTAAAACGAAGGGCCATTTAAATGAAGAAAGTTTAAAAGTTATAATGGCCAATGCCATGTGCAACCCCAGGATATAAGTCCTGGGGAAAAAAGCATTTAATAATGCTGATGATAATATAAATGCAAATTAAGTCATCCTGGGTTCTAGATAAACCTTGTTTCTCTACCATATACCAACTGACACTTTTACTCACCACTGTGGTATAAAGCAGCATCAATTCTGGGTTTAATCCCTTTAAAATCTTGGACTATACTTCTGGGGTATCCTTTTTCCATGCTTTGTTCAATTTCATTATATCTGAATGAAAATAACAAATACCATTATTGAAATACAATATAGAAAACCCTTTAGTTAAAGGAAAAGGATTCAAGGAAAAGGAAGCTGATTACCATCAACTGGTAATGATCAATTGAACAAGCCAAGCCAAGTGCAGGAAATGAAAATTTCCTGAACATACTTTTCTCATTTAAAAAAGACAGTGGCTCTGATGACTTCATGGACATATCCATGAAGACTTGCCACTGTCTTTTTCTGTTTTTTTTTTTTTTTTTTTAAACTTTGCGGTTTAGCTTACAGTCCTGATACTGCCTGGACATCTCCCATGTAGACCTGACCCTGCATAGTTCCTATGCCAGACAAGTTCAGCCAGATGTTCTCAAAAACTATTTGCAAATTTTGGATGTTGAGTTGTCATGGTATTTTTAGAGAAGGTGCAGAGAATCAGTCACCCTCTGGATCATGAGAACCAATCTCAGCTTCTGGATTATGATGGCAGCCACATGACAGAAACTGCTGCATACCATTAAGAAATATGGGAAGGATTCAGTTTATGATGGCTGAATTTAGTTCCCACTGAAATCAGTCAAGAAGTTAATCATGCTTATAGTTCAATGGATTTCAGTGGAAAGTAACTTCACTTAACAGTCTGGATCCAATCTGATATCTTTTCAAATGACAGAAGTGACCTTGGGAGAGACATTTGAACAAGCCTTCCTCCCACAACCCAGGGAGCCAGTCAAGATTCAGACTGTCATCTGAGAAGGGACTGGCAAATAGAAGGTCCTCCAGACACCTATGCTTAATGCCATCATTGGAAGTGCCTCAAATGAAAGAAAAAGTTCAGAAGTTGTTCAAATATTAGGTATGAAGGCAATATATGTTTCTAATTGTTGCTTTGGATTTGTGATCTGATTCAATTTGGATTTCCAGATTTGGCTGATTTGGATATGACTTCAGAATCAATGGGGGGGGGGGTGGGGCAGGGAGGAGATTCTACTCAGGTGATTTGGAGGCTCATGATTTTATTCAATTTGCCTGTTTACTTTGGAAAAACTGATTAAATTCAATGGTTCAACTGCATTTCCTTTGAATCAAATATTCAGACAAAATATTCACATATCTGTATTAGTCATTAAGAGGACCTTATGATAGATATACCTTGCTTTATATGATCAAATCAATCTAAGCAGCATTGAAACATGATAACCTCTAGCATGTTCTCATTGGTTGTGTTCCTCCAGGGTAGTAGCTGATTGGATCAGCATCCTGCTAGTCAAGGGAAATCTATGTTATGTTTTCATACTGTATCCATGTACAATAGGGCTTGGGCTTGGATCACAACACCATACTCACCATCTTGTAGATTTTATTAATCTTGCAGATTATATTAATATACTACATTACTATTATATATTGCTTCTTAAAGATCAATACCTCAAGACTAACAGCATAGCAAGCAAGATTTATTAAGACTGCAGAACATTGATCCATACCTCCAGTACTTGTTCCCAATTAAGAAATAGGTCTTCCCAGCTTCTGGATCACTAAATACAGCATCAATTTTTTTCACATGTTTTGGTAATCCCAGACTGTAAATACTTTGAGACTGGCTAGTTATATCATATCCATTTAGAACCCAGTATTTGTTTCCTAAAAAAAGAAGAAGAAATAATCTTAAACGTAAAGTAAATTATGATTTTTTTTGATATCCTAGGCTACCTCCTTCAAGTTTGGTTAAGAGAACAGTAAAAATATTATTTCAATATTGAAAGAATGATCACTTCTGAGCATTGCCATGTTTTCTATGGTTACATGCAGCACATCTTAGTTTAAAGAGCTATATAAAATACTAATTTTGATGCTATTTGCTCTGCCATATGAAGAGCATGGCTTGCTCTGGAATAACTGGATACTGGCTTTGAAAGAAAGATGGCACTTTTCTTATATATTCAAAATTCTACACGTGGGTCTGTGTGTCTATTTCTAGCAATAAATAGTTGTTAGGAAAGAAGGGGCTCCCTTGTTCTCCATGGACTTGGCACCATCCTAACTTTTTTTAGGCAGCTGTAGGGAGTTGGAATCAGGCTCAGATCATTTCAGCAGGCTGAAATTCAGTTCTGCATTGCCAGCAGAGGAATCTCTTGGGGACATCCAGAGAAGGGCCAGAAGAAAAGCTGACAAATGAGGCTGAGGGAGACCAGGATAAGACTAGTACTGAGTTATGTGCCATCCAGCCACACTAAAGAAAGGATGACAGCACAAAGCCAGATTAGGCTATGAGTAGTTCTGAATAAATTATGAACTGGGATGAATTCAGACATTGTAGTAAGCCATAATGTGATGTACGTGCGTGTTTGATTTTTGGCTTAACCCAGTTACTGTGGTTTATAGTTTAGCATAAGCCAGTGTTTCTTAAAGTGTGGTTCTAAGTCCCCCAAGACCCTCTCAAGGGTCCACAAAATCAAAATTATTTGCCAGCCTATGGTGAAAAATAATGCAATATTAAAATCCCATCAAACCATTGTGAGAAGGAGTAGTGGCCACGAATGTGTCAATTTTAATTTTTAATATGGGAAATATAACCCATACAAACAAAAGCCCTTTTGGGGTCCTCCATAATTTTTAAATGTGGGAAGTGGTCCTGAGAGGAAAAATGTTTAAGAAACATTGGCATAAGCTAAGAGAGACAAAGAGTAGACATTGGTGAATTGAACAAACTTGCTTAATTTTTTTTTTTATGTGGTAAAAGCAAGTCCCATTGAATTTATAAGAGAGTCAAAGATTTTCATCACTCACCTTTAAAAAGGAAAACTTGATCTTTCTCAAAGTTCTCATAAGCAGCATCTATACTGGAGGGCAGACTTGGCCAGAAAAGAGAGATGAAATGCAGTTCCACAGAGGAAATCTGAGGGTGCTTACGCCAAAAATGCCTAATTGTAAAACAGAAGTGGCATATTACCAAATGTGGCACCTTTTCATAGGAGGGAAATTTAGCTGGGTTCCATGTCATAACAACTAATGGTCATATCCCAGTTATTGGGAAAGTATTACCCACACTATAAGAATTATTTTAAGAATGCAATTTACCGGCCCTTAAAGAACATCATTTCTCCACGCATGGTGGTAACAGCATCAAAAGAAGTCTTAGCAGAACATGCTTCTGGTGTGGTAGGTCCTGTTGGTTGTATTGGGCTATCTAATTTTCCTAAATAGTAAAAGATTTAGAATCTATCAAATAGCTCCTAAAAACAATTGTAATTATAGGCATTTCTTTTATTAAATTTAGTGTTTGGGGTAGTACATTTCAACATGTGTCTATTGGTACTGTGGAATTCTACCTATAATGCAATTAATTATGACACTGTTTTCAAGAATATAATTGGAAGGATAAGCTAGTTACAAGGTATCAGAGTTTTTTCCTTTGGAAATCCTACTGAAATGAATAGGAGCTTGCGAAGATCCAGTTAGTAATACTTGTACTGGTTGGCAAATATTCATTTACATTTGGTAATCAAGTTGCAGAGGCCATGCTTTCTTTTCTAAGAGCACCCCATTCAATTTAAGTTTTGATTTCTGTTGGCCTTACCATAGATGGCTTGAATGCCATTGATATCATCCTGCGGAAGACGAAATAATCTTGGTTCTGTGTAGGAGTAGGTGGGATACATCAAGGCCCCAGGATCCGTGGAATGAGACAGACCCAATGAATGGCCAAGCTCATGAGCAGCAACAAGAAATAGGTTGCGGCCTAGGAAAAATGAAAAAGGAAACCATATTTTCATTGTAGAAAGCTATCAGAAATTCACAACTGATCTATTATTCCCTCAGATTAAAAAAGCAAAGCACTTTCAGCATTTAGCATATAAAGAAAAGGAATAGTCCCATCTAGGATTAATAATCATAGGTGACAGGGAAGGTGAATGGGTTGACTCCTTTCCATGATTTGTTTAGGCAATTGAATCAATTATCTTTTAAAAAACCCCATTTTGTTTCTAAACTTCATTTCCATTGCTTGCAACAGGACAAAGTTATTGCAGTAGAGAAAGCAGTGGGGGGGGGGGGGGGG